ATAAACATATGTTTATGGTATAATTATCCACAATGTTTATGTATAAAGAAACACACACGCACAAATATACATATTGTTACGTCTCTGTTCGTTTATTAATTTTCCGTAGAAATTCTTTCCGAAGAACTTCAGCGATACAAGTCCTTTCTCAAATAAAACGAGTTTATTCTTTTTCAACTCAACTTTGCAATACACTTAATTTCCCCACTTTCACTTTAACTTCAACACACGCTATAATTCACAACGAACGATTCACGCACTTTACACATGACTTGACTCGATTATCTGTCTCTATCTCTTCAATCTCCAATTATTCATATGTATGCCGTCACTTCTCGCCGGCCTTATATATACGAAATAGAGGGCGTCTGGAGAACACTCGAGGCTTCACGAACGGACATGATCTTTCTAGAATCTCATGACGTCTTACTAGCGTCACGTGACTTCCGCTATCGTAACAATACATATATATATATATATATATATATGGAAAGAGAGAGAGAGAGAGAGTAGACACATAGACATTTACATATATACATAAATCGGCTATTTCATGTAGATACTTACATATTATATTTGTGGTTGATTTATCTCTTCATAAATACTTTTGCGTCATCGAGATCATGTGATTCTCACGCCCTTTACTTTCTAGAACTATCCTGTACTTTGGCGAATGCTCTAGTGTTTGCTAGATATAGAGTAGTTGGGTATATAAAAGAGGGGAAGGTAATGTGTGTAGACCGTTTGTAATTGATCTGCAGTCAGAAGTATTGTTGACGTTCGTTGATATAGCGTTTGTTTTAGCGCGATTGTTGAAGTTGAGTGTATCGGTAAAGTTATATTCGGAAAGAATAAACCAGTTTTATTAAGTAAAGACTTGTGTCGTTAAAATTTCGTCGGAACAAAGTTACGGAAAAATCAGTTAACAAACGGAGACGTAACAATACTTTTACATGTCTTAAGATTCTGCTGATGACAGTGACGCGATTAATGCAGACATTACCCTAAATTCATTCCCGTGCTGGATAGATTACATGATCATTATGGGTATTATTAACTGCAAGATCAATAGTTAGGAAAGTCACTGATTATACAATCACTGACTGAAAGGAAATGAAATCGTCGTTTTCCGTGTTATTGAGTGATAATCACCATACAATATATGTACTACATTGTGTGATTTCAATTTCGTTATCAATAAATAATACAGTCATTTGGTCAAGAAACCAAAGACTAAAAAGATGTTGTGACCCTTGCTTTCTGAGCTTGCAGGTGTTTCACTCCGACATTTTATGATGACCACTCAGTTTTCACCACTTTGAACGATTTTATGGCCGAGAAACCAATGACTGAGAGAAAGTTGTGACCCTTATTTTCCTAGCTATCAAGTGATTTTTGGCAGCAAAACATATGTAAGTTTTTTGCAAAAATCGCTCACCTTAATCAAAGTAGCAGAAGTTCTCTGGAAAGGACCACATTCTACACAATAGAAACTATTATGTGTATACTTAATTGTGTGTAGCTCCTCCATGTGCAGGGAGGAAGTTGTGTCCTTTAACAGCACAGAAGGGGATTGAGTGACTATGAATGTCAACGGAAAAAGTTACCCATATTTACTTTTTTACGATGCCAACTGAAGCCAGTGGATCGACTCGTGTAATGAAATACAGAGTCCTGATGGTCTGTGGTTGATAGCTGCTCCTGCACTATGATGTACATTTTATTGGTGGATCCTCCTAAGACTTCAGAGTTTCACACAGAAAAGTTGGATATATCCCCACCAAGCACCTGACTGTGAATAAAGCTTTAAAATAAAGAGAGTGGTTTTGAAACATCACTGTCAGAAACAGGAAACCAGATGGACAGAGGCCTTGGCATTGTATATCTATGAGGAATACCATTTACTGAAATGAACTCATAAGGTTCTTGCGAGAGTTAATCCTTCAAACCACAATGGGCATCACAAATATGTGGTTGCATTGGAAAATTTTTTGTTATGGCCTCTACAGATAATCGGCTCCAAAAGCAGACAACCAGATGGACGAAAGCCTTGGCATTATATACCTCTAAGGAAGACCATTGACTGAAATGAACTTATAAGGTTCTTGTGAGAGCTCATCCTTCAGACCACAATGAGCATGATAAATATGTGGTTGCATTGGAAGATTTGTTGTTTAGGCCTCTACAGATAATCACCTCC